GCTGTTTACTGTTTTCTAAATTCTAAAACAAGTAGATTTTCCTGAAGGACAATGAAGTGGTTGATGGACTTGTTTAGATTGTTTCATTTAGGAGGGAACAATGTGTGTCCATATTGTTTATCAGAGTTTCTCCTTCCACATAAAAATCATTTTTTTAAAAAAATTGAATATTTTATTTACATTTCAGATGTTATCCCTTTACCTCATTCCCCCCCCCCAGGAACCCCCTATCCTATCCCCCTTCCTCCTGAATTCTATGAGGATGTGCCCCCAACAACCCCCCCCATTCCCACCTCCCCACCCTCAAATTCCACCACACTGAGCATCCAGCCTTCATGGGATCAAGGATCTCTTCTCACACCTATGCCCAACAAGTCCATCCTCCCCTATATATACAGCTGTAGCCATGGCTCCCTCCCCAGGCTGGTGGTTTGGATCCTGAGAGCTCTGGTTGATTGGTATTGTTGCTCTCCTCATGGGGCCACAAACCCTTTCAGCTCCTTCAGTCTTCTCTCTAACTGCTCCATTGGGAACCCCATGATCAGTTCAATGGTTAGCTGTGAGCGTCTGCCTCTGAATATGTCAGACTCTGGCATAGGACACAGCTATATCAGGTTCCTGTCAGCATGCACTTCCTGACATCCACATCAGCGTCTACCTTTGGTGACTGCACATGGGATGGATACCCAGGTGGAACAGTCTCCAGACGGCCCCTCCTTCAGTTTCTGTCCCACACTTTGTCTCCATATTTGTTCCCTTGAGTATTTTGTTACTCCTTCTAAGAACTGAAGCATCCATACTTGGTCTTCCTTCTTCATGAGCTTCATGTGGTCTGTAAGTTCCATCTTGGGTATTGTGAGCTTCTGGGCTAATATCCGATCTTATTTTTGTTTGTTTGTTTGTTTGGTTTTTCGAGACAGGGTTTCGAAACAAGTCGACCTTTGAACTTATCATCCATTTCTGGATCTTGAACCTACTTTTGTATGTAGTATAGATGAGGTGATAGCCAGGCATATATATAAAATATTCAACCTTAACAGCACAAATTAGGCCTGATCTTTTAACCAGCTGTGCTGATTTCTGGATGGCAGAAATCAGGCTTCTGTGATAGCTGTAGGGGGAAAAATAACACAGCCAGTTTATTCTTTATTTCTCATGCAGGAACTTCTGTCAGTGAACCATATTACATCTGTGAACTTTGAGTAAAGTATACCATACTCTGGGGTAGAAAATAAAGTAGAGGAGTTGAGGTGGAGCACTGTTGGAAAAATATTTCAGTTACCAAGTAGCCAAGTTTGGTAACATAAAAGAAGAATATCTAAACCATTGGGAGATTTGGGTTTTAGTAGAGAGGTTGTTCGCTGTAAAATATAAGGAGGCAGTGGAGAGCTCAAGTAAATTTAAGGACTTGTTCTTCTAAGAGAGCTATGACAGCTACTGTTTTTGTTGTTTTGTTTTTGATTGGTTGTTTGGTTCTTGGAACCAGGGTATCTCTACATAGCTCTAGCTGTCCTAGAATTTAGTAGACCAGGTTGACCTTGAACTCACAGAATCCGTCTGCATCTGCCTCCTAAGTGCTGAGATTTAAGGCTACAACTGCTATTCTGATGTATCCCGTCAACCCTTGGGCAACAGAGTTAATTTTGATAAATATCTTACAAGCAGATAGATAGCTTTGACTTAGGGATTCATTGAGAACTCCGGGGTTACACCCTGCTATTTGGTAACACATAGTTTAAAAGGTCTGCCAGGTTGGGCTAACCCCCAAAGATCAAGCCCTGAGTAAAGCTTTTAATTTATCATAAGACTTCTCTTGTTCTTATTCCCATGAAGGAGAACTTGGTTGCTTCCTTTTAGGTATTCATTTAGAGGCTTATCCATAAGGCCATACATAGAAACCCAAAGTCTACAGTAACCTGTTAGTTTTCCAAAGGCCCTAAGCTGTTTTCTAGTGGTAGGATTTAAGAAGGATCTGAATGGCGTTCTTTGGATCAATGCCTTGAGTCATATGACTCCTAGATATGATACTTCCATATATTCTCTGAGCCAGGAAATTGAAAGGCTGTGTTAGATGATTTGGGGTAGCAAATGATTCCAATTTGTTGACAATATCCAAAACCTTCTAGATAGAAGCTAGTGGAACATAGTAGGCCCTTTTCTCTCCACCAGGCCAATCAAGGTGTTGAGTTGTCTATTTCAATATCATACATTGTCTTCAAAACCCGTTTGATTTGATGTTTATTGACTTTGACTTCAAAGTAGAACAGTTTATTACTTTCTTTTTTTTTTTTTTTAAGTGGTTGACTTAGTTGGAGGATATTGATAGGGGTGAAGTGATTATGCTTATTTGTTCTAGAATATCTCTGAAGACATTGGGGTTGACTGTGGGAGGGACATATGCTTTGGATGATTAAAAGTAGGTAACTTGTGGAGCTTTTTGTATGTGCCTTTCAAAATCACCTTCTTTTTCATGGTCTTTGGATAGGACAGTGGGTTTTTTTCTTTTTTCTTTTTGTTTATTTTGTTTATTTGTTTTGATTCCCCCCCCCCCTTTTGGTACAGTATTTATACACTTGCTCTTAGCCAAAAGGCTGAGAAGCAGTTGGTACAGTATTTATGAAAAAGGTTTTCAGATAACTTTATTTTGCTACTTTGTTAGAAAACATGGTCTTTTTGTTTGTTTCTTTTGTTCTTGTTTTTTTGAACATTTTTTGAATATTAAAATATTCATCCCTACTTGCAATAATATTTGTTGTATGTTTTGGCAGATATTAATACAACTACTCTTAGCATACTTTAAAAATTAAAAAAAATTCTCTGATTTTGTATGTTGCACATACCTACATGCATGTGAACATCTGAGGAAGGTAGTTAGTTTACCTGTGAGTCCTGATGGTTGAGTTTAGGCCATCAGGCTGGGCAGCAATCGACTTGACCTGCTGACTCGTCTTACTGCCCGTCCTAGTGAGCTTAGATTAGACAATATGTGATATGTATTTTTTATATCCTTTATACTACTTCTTTTCTTGGGTTTCCCTGTGGCTGAATGAAACACTCACCTTACATCCTCGTGTAAGATTATAAGACAGTTCTGCTTACCCCATCTTTGTAGATTTTTTGCCTTCTTGTAGAATTTTATATTATCTTGTGAGGTTTGTTACTCAGACACAAACCAAGTGTTACGTGTATTTTTGGAGCACTTTGTATAATTTTCTCTATTCCAGTATTCCATTTTGCAAATTTCAGTTGCTTTTACTTATATTTATTCCTGGTCCCTGAACTGGTCTTTTGGGTCTTCCCATTCTCTATAGTAATCTGAAAGTATCCCTAAAAACAAATCTGAAGTGATCCTTGAGTTCAACATGTTTGCTTTCTCCTATATATGACAGTTTTCTGACCTGGTTTCTGGAACCTATTTTGCCCATTTTATACGGTTTAAAACAGGAAAACGTGTATAAAGTTATTCCAACTTAGTTTTAACATCTTAATTTTTTGTTTGTTTGTTTTTTCGAGACAGGTTTTCTCTGTGTAGCCCTGGCTATCCTGGAACTCACTCTGTAGACCAGGCTGGCCTCATGTCTTAATTTTTTGAATTACAATTTTCTGTTAGAACATTTTCTAACTATATTTGGCAGTGTTGTATATAAAGTTGGATATTTGTCATTCTATTGTTTAAGAATGTAATAAAGGCCAACAGTATTTATTACAGGATGGTAAAAAAGAAAGGACAAACGGGCTGGGGAGATGGCTCAGTCAGTAAAGTACTTTGCTGTGCAAACATGAGGATCGACACAGTAGCACATACCTGGAATTCTAGTGTTCCAGGGCATTGTCAAGGACAATCACATACATGCACATGAACTTAACACCCCTCCCAAAACCAGGGGGGGGGGGAAACAACAGTTTGTCAGTAGAGAACTGGGTAATGAAAACTGAGGGTATAGCTCAAGGAAGACTGGTTAAAGAAATGCTCATTATGTTGGTTTTATTTTATGTTTTGGTAATAAAGATGAATGAGGTAGATTATCTGTTAAATTATGGTAATATCCACAATGTATTAAATTAAAAGCTAAAAGCATGTTCTGGACAGTCAGCTTTCCATATCTGTGAGTTCCACATTTGCAGATACTCCTAACTGTAACTTGAAATCATGTAGTGGGAAAGAAATTGCATCTGTACATGTCCAGACTTTTTCTTGTTTTCACCTCCTAAACAGTGCAGTGTTACAGCTACTTACATACTTTTTACATAATTTTAGATAGAAATGGTTTAACATATATTGGAGGATTGGTATAGGTTCCAAGCAAATTCTGCATCATTTTACTCAGGGGCTTGAACATTCATGGCTTTTTGTATTCTGAGGTGAGGGTCCTGGAACCAGTGATCCCTGAATTCCTGAGAAAGACTGTATACTATACAGCTCCTTTTTCCTTTAAAGATATATATATTTTTTTAAGGTAGAAAAATGTTGGTAAATTGAGGAACAGGTCAAAGGGAAACTTTTTCCTAATTGTTTTGTTTTTCTGCCTTAATTTTTCTTTGACATATGTATTTAAAAATAGCAAAAAATTTTATTATGCTAAAACACATATAGGTGCTAGAAGTTTAGATATTGACACTTGGAGTTGATTTAGTAAATCTTTTTTTTTTAGCTCTTCTGTTTTGTAATTCACTAAAGTAAGGGGCAGTTGCTAAAACAAATAGAAGTGAATTTAATTTAGGACTGGGGTAAGTTCTTGTTCTACCACTTAGTAACTATGTTACTTTAGATGCGATAATAACTTATAGTAGCTCATTCATAATGAGACAAGATATCCTTATAAGGATTACTATGGGAATTAAATGAAACATGACAAATATTTGTCAGCCTGTTCTTTTGGCAGATTTTAGCCTTATCACATACAGGTCTTTATGTGTCAATTTCAAGCATTCCTTAGACATGAATTGTGTTCTGAAATAGAAATCTTATTTATTTGTTTATTTGTGTATTATATTCACAGAATGTTTTCAGGAAAGTGAACATCTCAAGGAAAGTCTTAAGTGTTGCTTATTGCATCTCTTTGGAGCCATTGTAGCCGGTGGGCAGGTGAGGACAGTGTTGAAAGTTAATATATAGTAGTTAACAGCACAAAAGTCTCTCCATGGATTTACTTAATGTAGTCTGTGTCTTTATAACTTGATGCTTCATATAACTTTTAAATTTATATTTTGCTTAAGACTAGATTTCTTAAAATCTTCGTTAAAAACCTAAGTAACATTAACACTGACAATATTACTGGATGAATAGATTGGACAAATTTTGGTAATTTAAGTTCTTGTTTCTCATGGATTTTAGTTACTAGTTATTTTAAAATGTACAGGAAGTCAGCCTTATAGGTGTGAAGAAATAAAATTCTAGCCAGTTTGATTTTCAGAGTCATGAATGTAGTCATTCTGCTGACTATTTGCAATTACAAAATATATTTATACAACTATCCGTGCATGTTCCAGCAAGCTCAACTAATTTCATTGTTTACAAAATAGAATTTCTAGTTTTTCTGTGCTTGGTGTCTTAAAAAGTATGTTTCGAACAAGCTGAGTATAATCCCTAGTTGCCAATAGGCCAATAAGAATTCAGAGAGAATATTATACATGTTTTTTTAAACCATGCAGTTTAAATGAGAGATTCTTTATCCTTTATGTACACATTGTGTTGCATACTCATTTTAGAGTTTGGTAAAGTCCCTTATTAGAATTTCTTAAATGTCTAAAGTAAAATACATATCATAAAAGACAAACTAATTTGAAATTTGCTGAAATGATAAGAAAACAAATTTATGATATAGTAATGTGAGTGTGTGGTTGTGTTTTATTTGTTTGTTTGAGACAGGATTTCTCTGTCTAACCACCCTGACTGTCCTGGAACTTGATCTGTAGACCAGGCTAACCTCAAACTCACAGAGATCCATCTGCTTCTGTCTTCTGAGTGTTAGGATTAAAGGGGTGAGCCATTGCACCTGGCACTTCTGTGTGTGTTTTTATGTAGTTCTCAGATTGAATTTATGGCTTTATACATGCTATAGGCAAATACTCACGATATTGAGCTGTACTCCAGACTCACTATGCCTTTTCATAATGTGTAGAAGAACAGTGAATATGGCATGTGCTACAATGCTTTAGTCAAAGCTGTGCAGGAAGCTGACAGGAGGATTCCTTGGGCCTAGGAGTTTGAAAGGCCAACATTTGATAGGCCGTGTAGGATCTTTTATGTCATAACAGGTATAATAATAGGAAAGTACATAGAATTTTTATTGGTGACAGAATCAGAAGTTTTGCTTATATTGTTATGTTTTGTTGTTTACATTTAAATTTGAATGAAATACTAAATTTCAAATAGAGACTACTAGAAATAAATATGTTTTTATTCAAGTTTATAGATTTTTTTTTTGAATTTCTGCCTTTTCCTCTTTCTTTCTTTTCTTTCTTTTTCTTTTCTAAAACTTTCTTCTTCTTGTTCTTTTGAGACAGAGTTTCTCTGTGTAGCACCCCTAACTGTCCTGGAACTGGCTCTGTAGACTAGGCTGGCCTCGAACTCACAGAGATCTGCCTGCCTCTGCATCTTGAGTGCTGGGTTTAAAGGTATGTTCCTCTCTCTTAGTTAGGGTTTTACTGCTGTGAACAGAAACCATGACCAAGGAAATTCCTGTAAGGATGACATTTAATTGAGGAGGACTTACTGGTTCAGTCTGTTATCATCAAGGCAAGAGCATGGCAGCATCCTTGCAGACATCAGATTGGAGGAACTGAGAATTCCACCTCTTGTTCTGAAGACAGCTAGCAGAAGACTAGGTTCCAGGTAGCTAGGACAAGGGTATTAAAGCCCATGCCAACAGTGACACACCTACTCTCCAACAAGGCTACACCTCTTAATAGTGCCACTTCCTGGGCCAAGCATACACAAACCATCACAGCCACCATGCCAGGATTCCCCTTCCCTTCTCTCCTCTCCTCTCCTCCCCTCCCCTCCCCTCCCCTCCCCTCTCTT